GCCTGGGACCCCTGGATTTTTGTGTGAACAAATTGGCTGTTGACCCATCAAAAATAGGGCGTTTAACATGGGTTTTTGTAGACCATTTAACAATAGAATAGCACTTGTGTATTATAATTTAAACCACTCAGATTTCAACATCCAGGTAAGTGCTGGTGCGCTTTTTTCAACTGGGCAGACATTTAAAGAATGGTGCTGGTAAGTTAAAAATCCAGGCGTATAAGTTGGTTTACAACTAACTAGAGTCTACAGTGGGATAGGTTCAAACCAACCAATTTGAAACTGCGGGGCCGCCTTTCTGTGACAACCAGAATTGCTTTACCAGTAGTCGAAGGAAGTTTAGAAGTCAAACTTCCGACAATATGGAGAGATGAAAAGCAGAGCAGGGCAGAGGCAGAGAGAAGAGGAAGATTAGAAGAGAGAAGATCAGAAGAGAAAGAGTAAGAGGACAGAAGATACAGATGCGCGAAAAGGTAGGAAAGTCGCGATTCACTGTGTTTTTCCAATGATTTGTGGCTCCGGAGGGTCGAAAAGTAGGCTCGCTAAAGCGGCGGGTGCGGAGCCAGCTGGCCAGATGAGAGATGAAAATTGCACGCCGTTGTGGCGCGAAGCACATTTCCAAGTCAAAATGTACAAAACACACCATTCTCGGACCACTTTTGGAAGTTGAGATGTCGAAAAAGTGCACGCCGTTGTGGCGCGAAGCACATTTCGAAGTCAAAATGTACAAAACACCCAGCTCCGGACCACTTTTGGAAGTTGTGATGTCGAAAAAGTGCACGCCGTTGTGGCGCGAAGCACATTTCCAAGTCAAAATGTACAAAACACCGCAGCTTCGGACCACTTTTGGAAGTTGAGATGTCGAAAAAGTGCACGCCGTTGTGGCGCGAAGCACATTTCCAAGTCAAAATGTTAAAAACACTGGGGTTCGGACCACTTTTGGAGGTTCAGATGTCGAAAAAGTGTCGAAAAAGTGCACGCCGTTGTGGCGCGAAGCACATTTGGAAGTCAAAAGTGTAAAAAACTGAGGGTTTTGAGCCTTTTTTGACGTGCTGATGTCGAAAAAGTAGACACTGCTTAACTAAACTAACTTGACTAACTCAAGTAACTTCACTAACTTAACTACCCTAACTTCGACGACAACAGCAACAACAACAACAACAACTACAACTACAACTACAACTACAACTACAACAACTACAACAACTACACAACAACTACAACTACAACTAGAACTACAACTACAACAGCTACAACAACAACAACAACAGCAACAACAACAACAACAGGAACAACAACAACTACAACAACAACTGCAGCAACAACAACAACTACAACAACTACAACAACTACTACAACTACACTACACAACAACTACAACTACACAACAACTACAGCTACAACAACAACAACAACAACTACTACTACTACTACTACTGCTACTACTACTACTACTACTACAACTAGAACTACTACTACTACAACTACAACTACAAAACAACTACAGCTACAACTATATGACTGCAACTACACTACACTAATTACATTACACCACAACTACAACTCCACTACGCTACAACTACAACTACAGTTGCAGTACATCACACTACATCCAGCAGTTGTGGGTGAGGTGACCACTGCAACCATTGCAACCATTCCAGCAAACAAAACTCCAACCACCTTTCGGTCAATCAGTGGATTCGCTCTGCCATCCGTGATTCACAACAACCAACGTCTCCTATAGGTTTCCTATTCTGAAACTTCCGCCACCGCCTTGTGCGGTACTACTGGTACACTCAATTGAGAACTGATCAAAATCGATCCAAGTTTCCAATCTGCAGGACACACTTGAACTCTCAGGGTTGGAAATGTTACGACTCACGCTGGGGCTCCAAACTCTGCCCATTGAAATGAGTTTGTGTTCCATTCTAGGTTGGTGATCAGTGACAAATGTGTCTTCCAGTCGACTCGGAATGCATCGATTACCAAAGGTGGAGAGCCTGACGGGCTACCGCGACGGCGTTGGGGAACCCGACATGTGCTGGGTAAGACTGGTGCATGACTGAGCCGTGGACCTGTGCGCCAAGCCATGCGTTCTATGTACTGTATACCTGTATGTAGTTTGATGTATACCTATGTGTATGTAGATATGTATCATTATAAACTGATGTCATATATATATATATATACACACCATATAACATGACATATATATATATATACATACTATGACCCTTGTTGCATCCTTTTGTTTCAGGTGGGCATCGCCAACAACAGTGCACCCTGATTCACATTGTGTTCCACGTTCATCCTATTGAGTTTCTTTCGCATGTTTATCAGAATTGGTTGAAGGGAGAAAAATCGAAAAGACGACTGGTTTCCTATGAATGTTACACGCAGACACCCCGAGTCGCCCAACATCACTTTTAGGTTTCCAAGGTTTCGCTGAAGGTTAAAACCATCCCACCGATGAAATTATCCCCACTTGGGGTAGCGGCGGGTAGGCCCACCAAGTGGGTTATGAAATAATCATCCCAAAGGATGCGTTTCTTAAAGTTAGGGATCCCAAACTCATCCAACCTTTTTCATGTTTAAAAAAGGAAAACAGTGAAAAACATGCACAAGAATGGCTTGATAAACACACTCACTAAGTTGGTTATGTTATTGTTTTTGTAGATATCTCGCATGAGTTATACCCCACATCTATGTGTATATATATATATGTGATTATGTGTATATATATATATATATATCTATTGCATTCCCCTTGATCCCAAGGAAATCACTGCTTAGATGCCTTTTGTTCCTCATTAAACCACCATTTCCTCAGATTGTTTGGTTCAATCACGACCGATGGACTCTGCAGGTGGACACGATGATGGAGGCGGGCACAGGTCATGGTGATGATGGAGGGATGTAGACTTGTTTTTTTGTCATTTAGCAAGTACCATTGATATCCATTGATGATTTTTCCCACCGAACTATGAACTAGACCTCCATTGGCGGTTTCCAATGTCCATGTTTGATTATCGGAGGGTGTAGGGTAATTCGAAAGCATTTTTCCCAGCTAGACACCTCCATTTATAGGCGGTTTGAAAAAGTCCATGTTTGATTACTGGAGGGTGGGGTGTAATTCTAAAGCATTTAATGAAGTTTGAGAACCATTGAGAACCTCTATATTAGCTACATACCTTCCCGATTTAGGTTAGATAATATTATGCCTGATTTTGCATCGCTTCCGCCTGGAGGTTCATGTGGTGGGCCTAAGTCATCACAGTGCACCGGTGGAAGTGGGGAAACCAAGATGAACACTTTCCAGTTTGCAAATGCACAGTGACAGGGCGAAGAGTGTGGGAATGTATCTGTATATGTATATATATATATATATATACACACATATCCAGCAAAAGTGGAGCTTTCACAGTTTTGAGTTTTGACCAACAAACAGTGTTCTAATTGATATTTTTCTTCGTTGTGGGCCAAGAATCCGGTCGAGGAGCCTGCAACAGCACCTACAACCGTGATTGCAAGCAGCAAGGGGGGGTGACTCAAACAACTGTGGGAGAAGGTCCCCCCCCACTTTTGTGGTTTTTCACCCATCCAACTGTAGATTTGTGTTTTAGTCACAAATCCAATCATTAGCCCAGTAGATCCCAGTAGCCTAGTGAAATCAACCAAGTCACCGTTCTCGATTGGGGGGCCTTACCTGCCAGTTGTCCCAGTGCTTCGCATGAAAATATCGCATTTGGTCTAAAGCCAACATGGGGAGTGACGCAACCAAAAAACGGAGAAACGGCAAATCAATCAAACGACTGGAGGGATTTTTACATGATTTAAATTTCACCAGGGGATGAAGATGAATTTACCAGCCATTTGGATGTTCACTGTTGTAGAGTTTTGATCAACAAGTCGAGTGATTTCATCAGCACCCTGAGGTTCGAGAGAAGTTAGCCGTGGCACAAGCAGATTGGAATGCTTATGCGCAGGTGCCACCTTGCTGTTGTGCAGGGTTTCTACGCGCCGATACGTAGTGTTGATTGAATCTCAGATAAGTATGGATAAATACTGATACAAAATATAGATAAACGCCATTGCAACCACATTGGACCTGAGCTGCAGCCAATATATCTAACATGAGCTGGGGCAACCCTTCTGGTTCTTTCAATGTTGACTTTCAGCATGTGGATTGGTCCGTTACATTGTGATGTTCCGATGTTCCCCAAAAGGAACGTAAGGTCTTCATCAGATGGGACACAGTGATTGCTCAATGGAGAAGTGGGTCATGTTTTCATATACCATCTGGTCTACTGAGTCTACTGAGGATTTATATATATATATACTTGCGAAAACATCAAACAACTCTTGCTTGGCAAGGCAAGAGCCTATTTTCTGAGGCATAAAAAGCCATGTGATATCGAAAAAAAGAGTTTTTGGTTCCACAATATCCAAGATGAGTCATGAATCCCCAGTCATGTTTGTTCAATTCTATTGTTTTTGTTGCTGATGAATCCCAATAGGAGTTTGGTAACGTCGCCTGCTTGATTGGGTAGTTCGATATACTTTGGTACTTGAATCTTCTGCCATGCCAGGGAATCTAAGATAAAACAGACTATGATATGATATATTACATACCCTTTGGTAAACTAACATAGCTATGGAAAATCACTATTTTTCATGGGTAAATCCACTATAAATTGCCATTTTTCATAGCTATGTTTGTTTACCACAGGGTACATTTGGGCAAACCATATACCATTGGTTGTTTGCCACTCCAACATTGGCTTATCATCCCACCAATTCGGCCATCCCACGCCCCAATTGATGATTCATCATGTTTCCAGGAACCAAATCCACTTGTTTCGCACACTTAAACACCAACTTTCCTGGACGTTGATTATATATATATATATATATGATATGCCCATGTTGTTCCATTCTTGATGGGTTCGTATTTTTGACGGGGTACACCGACCTGATGTTGGCTTAAGCTCTTGACTCCCGCCGGGACCCTGCGGCGGTGCGGTGCGAACACCTGAGATCGAAGGTCCATATTGCCACCCGGTAGGGTTCGAAAACCATGGCTCAACAATTTGGGTACTGTTAGTAAAGAGAATGGTTAATCATGATCATTAACTATGATTTTTTCATGATGATTGATGTTAGTAAAGCAATGTCATGGACCACCCATATGGATTGATGCTTTGTACCACCCATTTATAGTACAATTGGGGATGGTTTACTGTTGCTTTACTAACATTACAGTATCGAAGTTTTTTGGATGTCTAGTAAGATTGACCAACATGGACTGGAAAATGGTGAGTCATGGTATGTCTGAGGTTGTTCTAATATGCCCAGGAACCAATCAAGCTGCCATAGTCAGAGGACATCCCCAACACAGGTTCCAGCTGGTCCAGATGTTGTATTTAAGGACAGATACACCTGAGTGACTGTCGTGACACAAGCAATTGCATAGTGAAGAACTACTAGGACACTACAGTATACATGTAAATACACAGAAACACATACATATATATATATATATAAACAAATATGTAGATATGATTATATGTATACGCACAGGTGACTAGTGGGGGTCAAAATTGATCACCCCAAGGTTTAGTTTTTTGTTTTGTTCGCTTTTAAGACGGTCACTAGGCTATCAGCTGTTTGACCCATACACATGTTTGGCTATGTTTGTGATAGTTGCTTCGACTCAAAGCTGGGTCAATGGATGCCTTGACCTCAGAGTGTACCCAAATTGTTTGACATTGATTACCATTATTGTTTTTTTTCCAAAAAAAAGTCAAGTTACACATGTTTATGTGTATACACCGTGTTATCATATCTTGGGTAAATGGTTGCAGATTGTATCCAGAGCCATCTAATTTGGTTCCACTATGTCCCAGTCTGGTTGGTGGTTTCAAACATTTTTTATTTTCCATAATATATGGGAATAATACTCCCAACTGACTAATATTTTTCAAGATGGTTAAAACCACCAACCAGCTATAAATAATGGGATAAACCATCTTTCAAGCCTTGGGCAAATGGTTGCAGATTGTTTGTATCGCCATCTAATTTGGTTCCAATATGTTCCAATAGTTTTGAGCCATAGCCATGTAGCAAGTCGATGGTTCATGTCGCACACAGTCGACTGGCAGCTAAGGTTTCGGCATGATGTCGTGGTTGATGCTTGCCGTGCTTGCATTTTTTCGACTAGTCCTTGCCTTAGAATTTCAGAGCCCGCATGCGAGATCATTCCAAAATGCGAGATCATCCTGACTATTCAATAAGATTTTCTTTGGTGATTTAGCGAACTGGAAAATCATCATTTTTTCTAGGTACATCCAGGTACATCATCTATTTCTATGGGCCAAATTCCCATAGCCTGGTCATGAAGGAAGATCATCCACAGACCTGTACAAATTCTTCAGTTAAGGGCACTTTTTGGTTGTTTTAATCGCGCTATAATGTATATATATATATATATACATGTTATATGATTATAGATTCTAATATTATGCCGATAATATTATATATATATATATATGTATGTATATATGATCAGATATGTGTACAGTATAGACCATGTTACATGTAGTACATATGTTTGTATATGTGCTGCAGCCATTTTAGTGCTTTTAGCCACCTTCGAGCTAACTGAGTGAAAAGGTGCTGAACAGTGCTCAGGAGTGTTCATCAGATTTAAGAGCCCAAATTCTCTGTTCATGGTAGCGGAGCTGAGGTTCTGATACCCAGCTGTGAATGTGTAGGTGTCGACGCCGGGCTGGTTCTGCTCTGGCGCGCTCACCTCGTGCCAACTGGAAAAGGTTGACACTCAAGCTCCTGAAAATCAGGAAAATCCAAAGATACTTCCATAACCTTGGAGTGCATCTCCAAAGGTACCCAAGGGTTCTCTTGAATCAGGTCTCAAAGCACCTGAAGAACGACTAAGGATGGCTCAGCAACAGCAGCCACCTCAGCAACCAGGCACTCCACCAGCACCCAACAAGCACAAGGCAACGGTCCCAACATGTCCCAGATGGTTATGCAGATGATGGCCCAATTGACTCAGGGTCAGGCGCAGTTGAGCCAGGCAATGACCGAGGCTATGAACCAGCAGCTTCAGATCAACAGAAATGTTGAGAGATCTGTTGAATACAAAGACAGATCAGAGTTGAAAGGCATACCAAAACCTGATAAGTTCACTGGAGCATCAGGCACTTGGGATAGTTGGTGGTACAAGTTTAAGACTTGGGTTGAAAGTTGCCACAAGAATGCTGTGAAGATTGTGGCACAAGTTGAATCTCAGTGTGACAAAGAGATCAATGAGTCAGGTCTAGAAGTAGACTTTGATGAAGGTGCCGAGCTTGTTTCAGCTCAGGCTCGACAAGCCCTCATATCATTGACTGAGGGAGAAGCGTTGGAAATTGTCAAGAACACATCTCGTGGTAGCCACTTTGGCCTAGAAGCCATGAGACGACTGTTGTGCAAATATGATCCTCAAAATCCTCAAGCTAATTCAGCCTTGTTGAAAAAGGTTCTGCATCCAAGTCAATGCAGTCTTGATAAGCTTCGAGAAGGGCTTGAGAGTTGGGAGAACTTGAAAAGAAAGTATGAAGACAGGAGGAAGAAACCACTTGAAGATGACATCTGCAGGAGTTGTCTGCAGCAGATGTGTCCCAACAAGTTGCAAGATCATTTGGACTTGCTGGCTTCGAGATTGACCACGTATGACCAGGTGAAAGCTGAAGTTCTGGCCTATCTCGAGAATGTCGAGACCAGGAAAGAGGCAAAGTCAGGAGCCGTTCCCATGGATGTGGATTCCCTTGCTAAGGGTAAGGGAAAAGGAAAACATGATAAAGGGAAAGGCAAAGGTAAGTCCAAAGGTAAAGACAAAGGAAAGAGTCAGTCTTCGTCTTGGTCAAACGATTCATACCACAAGGGTTCTTGGAACAATCAGTCTTGGAATCAGCAGTCTTGGTATAAACAAAACACCAATGACTCCAAGAACAAAGGGAAAGGCAAGAAAGGTCAAGACAAAGGTAAAGGTAAAGGTGATCAAGGTAAAGGTCGCAAAGTTGCCAATGTTGAGTCTGATACTTGGGCTCAAGAGCAACCTGCAGCAACTGCCACTGGTGATCAACCTGAACCTGAACTCACAGCGCTGTTCACCTTGGAAGACGCTATGCCGCCTAAGTCCGAAGCTCAAGAGGAATCACCTCGTCGTGGTAGAAGTCCAAGGAGAGCTACACTCCAAGCACCCTCAAGGAGCACTGTGACCAGGAGCGCTATGGTTATGGCTCAAAGCGCTTTGGCATCAGCTTCTGGGTCTAACAAGGAGCTTTTCAGTAAGATGATTGCTCAGGCTGAGAGCGCTGTCAAAGATGCTCAGGACAAAGGGCTCCAAGCAAATCAGGCCCTTAAGGAACGCCAAGAAACCCTGGACAAGTTGAAGAAAGAGGCAGCCCAGCATCAGAAAGAGGCCAAAGAGGCAATGGCCAAAGTGAGGGCAGAAGGCCGTGCCGCTTCAGCACCGGCTGCACCCTCTCGTCGGTTGCAAGCCGACCTAGATGCTGGAGTACATGCAAGAGCTGCCAGGAAAGCAGAAAAGAGTAGGCAGAGAGCTGCTAGTCATCGAGCAGCCACTGCACAAGATAGAACAGCTAGCTTCAAGAACTATGAGCTGGCAACCCATGGACAAGCCAACCCTGACAAGTGGGACAGGGAAGACATTGGAGATCTTCCTGAACCTCCCAAGGCAAGAAAGTTGGAACCCAAGCGCCATAGAGGAGGACATCACAGGTCTGAAAGACGAAGAGCAAATGAAGCTAGAAAGAAGGCCAACGAGGACAAGATGAAGGAGATGAGAAAAGAAGGAATCCCAAAATGGATTCATGACAAGTTCGAGATTTCCTCTGAAGAGACCACTGATGAGGATGAATTTGTCAGCAGACTTGAGAAGCTGCAGAAAGATCCTGAAGTTCTCAGCAAGTTGGACAATGTCTTGAAGGAGGCCTATGAGAAGGCTTATGGTGAAATTCCATCATCGGAAGAGGTCGAATCAGACGATGTACCATTCAACCAGGAACCTGCACCAGGCATGGAAGATGTAGATCGTCATTGGGAGACTTCCTCTCGAGAGCTCATGTCATTCAAGGAGTTGCACGAGAAGTCCAAAACTGTGTCCAACAAAGGACATCCCTATGTGAAGTGCCAGGCATGTGGAAAAGCACTGAACTCCATGAGTCTTGCAAGCTTTTGGCAACATGTGGAGAGCAAGAATTGCTATCCTCAACCCGCCCTGGAGTTCTGGAAGAAAGAACGCTTTCAAGCAAAGGCTGAAAGAAAAGCAAAGGCTGAAGGAGAGGCATCCAAGAAGCGCCCCATGGATGATGCAGAAGCCAAAGATGAGAAAAAGCGCCAAGAGATTGCTAAGGATGAAGAGAAGAAGAAGCGCAAGCAGCACTTTGAGGAGCACTATGAACGCTTCAGGTACAAGGGTAAAGATGATGTGAAGCCTGAAGTGAAGAAGATCCCCAGGAGGCCAGGGGAGAAAGAGAAGGAGAAAGAAGCAAAGAGAGAAGAGAAGGAGAGATCAGAGAAGGAGGATGACAAGTCACCCAGCAGGGCACCAATTGAGCTGAAGTCCATATCCCCATCGAGAGCGCCTCAGGACAGCCGGGCTGATTCAGCCCAGGCGTCCAAGGGCAAGGGGAAAATCAGCACAGGTGCCAAGAGATTCTTGGAAAAGGCAGTGCGTGAAGCTGCCAACTTTATGGAAAGAAAAGTCAGGAAGAAGAAGGAGAAGTCACCATCTCCCAAGCTCAGGGAGCATTCACCAGGAGGAGGAGTTCGATCAGACTCCAACCTCGACTTCCTGGGAAGTTTGGCATCTCCGGTGGATACCATTGTTTGGGCCACCGTTGACTCAGGGGCTGCAACCAGTTGCCTACCCAAGGAGATGGCACAATCTTTGGAGTTGGCTATGACGCCTGTGGATGAGAAGCCGTTTACCAATGCATCAGGACAACCAGTCCAGGTGCACGGCATATGCAACCCCATGGTGACAATGGGTGAGAAAGGAGGCCCACAAGTCAAAGGTGTGGGACAGTTCCGGGCAATGGATGTGGCAAAGCCATTGCTATCTGTGTCCAAGCTGGTTGAGAAAGGCTGGACAGTGACCTTCGGCCCCAAAGGATCGTTCCTGCAAAGGGGAGCCAAGAAGGTACCAATCACAATGACTGGAGGAGTCTTCAAGATAGCCATGGATTTTCATGGGCAGCCCATAGAAGGGTTGAAGGCGTAAGTCCTGTGGAAACCACAGAGAGCGCAGGTAGTGGAGATGATGAACCGGGCAGTAGTAAGCTAGGTTCTCAAGCGCTACCAACTGCAGCAGCGCCGACGCAGAGAGAAAAAGAAGAGCATTTTGTCAGCCATTATCCTTTTAGGAGTTGGTGTGAACATTGCATTAGAGGCAAGGCAAAGGCAATGAGACATGTCAAAGTAGATCATTCAGATGAAACAGTTCCTGTGATCTCAGCTGACTATTGTTTCATGAATTCAGTGGATGACACTGTCATCACAGAGGAAGTGCAGAAAAAGCATGCACCAGTTTTGATAGTACATGATCGATGGTCCAAGTTGACCTACGCACACGTTTTGCCATACAAGGGAGTTACCCAAGGTCCTATTGGGTCTAAGTGTCTTTTGAATGACCTTAAGAAGTTTGGGTACCCCAAGATGGTCATGAGGTATGACCCAGAGCCTGCACTCAACTCCGTAGTTGAGGCAGCCAAGAATGTTTTTGACAAACAGTTGGTTTTGGAAAAAGTTCCCAAAGGAGTCTCAGAATCCAAAGGGGAAATTGAAAGAGCAGTTCAAGCTATTGAATCTCAATCCAGGACACTCAGAAGTGCCTTGGAGACAAGCTATGGAAGAAAGGTGCCAGACGACCACCCAGTTTTGACATGGTTGGTTGAACATGCTAGCACCACTTACAATTTGTTTCACAGATCATTGGAAGTCAAAGATGGGAAGACACCGTACTCTAGACACCGTGGTCGTGAGTGGAGAGTGTCATTACCACCATTTGGGGAAACGATTGAATTCCTCAAAAGAGGTCACAAGTTTGAACAAAGATGGCACCAAGGAGTTTTCTTGGGAGTCAAAGACAATACCACTGAAAAGATAGTGGGGAATGCATCAGGTGTTTTCACTGTGCAAAGCATTCGACGCAAGAGCGCTGACGACAGATATGATGTCGAAACGTTGATGTCAGTCACTGGGGTTCCTTGGGATCCCCAGGCATCAAAAAGAGATGACATTTTGCTTCCTCAGATTGTTGAGGGAGATCAGCAGCCACTGGCGCCATCAGTGCCAGTGGGGTCACCAAAGAAGTCAACAAGACGACTTTACATCACCAAACGTGATTTGGACAAGTATGGCTACACAGCTGGTTGTGTCGCCTGTGATGCCACTAGAATTGGCAAGAGAGGCACTGGAGTTCATCACACTCCAGCTTGCAGAGAAAGGATGGAACGTCTGCTTCAAGCAGAAGAGGGCAACCTGAGGGTAGCCCAACATACGGCCAAGGTTGATTCTGAAATCACTGGTCAGAAACAAGAAGTGTCCGAAGAAGGCACAAAGATCCTTTATGGATATTCAAGTGAGAGACCACAAGGAGTCCCTCAAGGTTTCAAGGTGTTTGCGCGCCTTGACAGGAATGCAAGGTATCTCAAGGGTACTATGCCAGAAGGTCTCAGTTGGGATAACGTCTGGTGGAGAGTCACCAGAGAGTTCAAGACAGGAGACATGATTAAGTCTGAACCAATTGATCCTAATTTAGGAGAGGACGTCATCAACGCACCGTTGATTGATGACACAGATATTGTCACTGAGCTGTGGTATTCTGCCACAGGGGAATCAGCGCCAAGTTTGCCAACTACTGGACCTGATGTAGTACAAGCCTCTACGGCCGGTCCAATGCAGAGACCAGTAGTACAAGATCCTACTCCAGTTGCAGTAGGAGCTAGTGCAAGCTCAGCCTCAGCCAAGAGAGCAGGAGGCGAGCAAGAAGAAAGATCACACAAGAGGTTGGAGATGTCACCAACCAAAGGTCAGAAGAGACCTGCAGACTCAGGAGGCGAGACGTCAAAAGCCAAAGACAGCCGAGCTGCTTCAGCTCAGGCGTCTAAGGGCACCAAACGGCCACCTGAGAATGAGAGACCAGATGACATGGATGATATAGACCAATGTCTTATGAACCTGATCATGGAAGATCGGGAGAGGTATCTTCAGTCCATTGAAGGTGAAGAAGAGCCAGTTTGCGAAGAAACAATTCCTCTTCCACCGGAGTTGGAAGATGAAGCAGCTACATGGTATTATTATGATGATATCAGTGGAAAGATTTTGGACAGCAAAGGTGTAGAACAAGCCAGAAAAGATGAGGTCGAAATTATTGAAAGTTTTCCAGTTTGGGAAAAGATTCCCAGACACAAGATGCCCAAAGGGGTACGCACCATTGGAACACGATGGGTAGATGTCAACAAGCAGGATGAGGAGAATCCACTTTATAGAAGTAGGTTAGTAGCTCAAGAAGTCAAGAAGGGCTCAGGTTTTGATGAGTTCTTCGCAGCCATGCCCAGTTTGTCTGCATTGAAGATGCTAGTTACAATAGCCGTCACGTTTCAGTTGCCAGACGCTGGAAAAGCTGTCAAGGAAGCCTATCACAAGCGTAGACTTCTAGGATTTTTGGATGTGAAACGCGCTCACTTTTATTCAGATGCGACGCGCGAGATTTACGTGGAGCTTCCTGCAGAAGCAAAGAAGCCTGGAGAAGATGTGGTAGGAAGATTGCTCAAGTCATTGTATGGAACCAGAGATGCACCTCTCAACTGGGAGTTGCAAATACAGAAGGTCATGTTGGCCTTAGGTTTCAAGCAAGGAAAAAGCAATCCATGCATATACTACCATGCAGGCCGAGACCTCAGAACTGTTGTACATGGAGATGATTTTACAACAGCAGGAACATTTGACAACATCAAATAGCTTCATGAAGAGCTGTCAAAGAAGTGGAAATGTGTGGAACGTGGTATTTTAGGACCACCAGGAACACCAAACACCATCCAGGACATCAGAGTCCTGAACAGAATCATCACGTGGAAGGAGAATGGAATTTGGTGGGAACCAGATGCACGTCACGCAGAGTTGGTGATTGATTTACTCGGAGATGGTCCCCGAGGAGCCAAAGTCAAGACACCACTTGCCAAAGGATCAGTGGAAGATCGTAAGGATGCCGCTGTTTTTCTCAACGATGAAGAAGCAACCCAGTATAGATCAGTTGCAATGCGAGCAGCTTAATTATTTGGCACAAGACCGACCAGATCTGCAAGTAGCAACAAGATCTTTAGCACAAGGGCTACAACGACCAACTACCAGCCACATGCTTATGCTCAAAAGAGTTGCACGATACCTTAGGTATCGACCACGCATGGCACAATTCTTTCCTCATCAGAACAAACTCAGTCCATTTGTGATGTGGTCTGATGCTGACCACGCTGGATGCGTGAAGACGAGGAAGAGCGTGTCAGGAGGCGTCTTGATGGCCGGTGGTTGTTGTATCAAGACTTATTCTAAAGGACAAGGAGTTGTTAGTCTTTCGTCTGGAGAGAGTGAGTATTACGCTCTTGTGAGCGGTGCCAGCAATTTGCTGGGAGAAGTTTCAACCGCCAAAGACTGGGGTTTGCAACCTGAGAGTGAAGTTTTCATGGATGCAAGTGCAGGAATAGCAATGGGTTCACGTAGAGGACTAGGCAAGGCCAAGCACGTGGATACTCAATACCACTGGGTACAAGACCGCGTTGCCAAGCGCTACTTTCGGCTGAAGAAGGTCGACACTGGCGATATGCTTGCCGACGTCTTGACGAAACCCGTCATAGAGGAGAAGATGAACAAAGCCCTGCGGAATATGAACTTTCACTTTCTGGAAGGTGAACATCACCTGACACTGAAGGCATAGATGGCTTGAGTCGTGGCTATGCTCCGCTGTACATATCAAAACTCGCCTAGTTCAAAACACTTGGACTCACCGTGCCTCCGAACAGGCTCGGGAGGCGTGATCGGATATGTGTACAGTATAGACCATGTTACATGTAGTACATATGTTTGTATATGTGCTGCAGCCATTTTAGTGCTTTTAGCCACCTTCGAGCTAACTGAGTGAAAAGGTGTTGAACAGTGCTCAGGAGTGTTCATCAGATTTAAGAGCCCAAATTCTCTGTTCAATATATATATATACATATGATTATGCATATTATGCACTATGATAATCTATACTTTACTATTATAATCTATTATATATATGTGTGTGTGCAACTATATTGATTTCGCAAGTCTGACACATTGTTGGGCTGCAGTTGTTTGAACCTGGAGAACTGTGATAGGAACAGCGATGTTATACCCAGACTTAAGGCCTTGAATCCACTGATGGTATGTCGAAACCTTTTGAAATGAACATGATTCGGGTCGTCTGTGCATTTACAGTCACCTGCACATGGATACATAATATTTATATATACAATGATGTATACGCATATATTGATTATATCATACTGGTAACACACACACACACACACATATATATATATATATAATAATTATATATAATTCACAATACAGTATAAATTTGCACATCACCAGAGGTGGAGGCGATGCCAACCTTTCACATCAACCTGGATTTGCCTCCAGTGGCTCGCATGGGTGAAGCAGCGGAACCAGGTCGTATTAAGGGTATTAAAGGTTTATGATTTATGATGGTTTATGATGGTTTATGATGGTTTATAATGGTTTATGATGGTTTATGATACTTCATTTCTCATGTTTGGTTTGGAGTTGAACAGTTGTTTGGGATTTAGGGGCTATGTGAAGGGTATCCAGAGAAGTGTTTGGACCGAAAATGTTGTAGGGAGAAACACATTGCAGGATGGTCTTTTGCGCATGTGTCTCCTGCAGAAAAAGATCACCTGAGTTTTCATTTCAAGATATTTGATAGCGCATAGACCTTCACAGTACCCATGAACATGTTTTTCTTACAATTTGGTACTTCGACCCATTTTGGATTCGTACTTTTCCCCATGGCTGAAGGGGTGTATGCCTGTAAACAGATACAGTATTTGACTAGATCTGGCGGCCGATGTTCTTCAACTTTCCATCGTCTGGAATGATCATAATCAGTTAGGTGTGCTTGCCAGTTGCTTATTCTTGTTGCAATGAGAACCATGTTGGTTTGCCTGAAAACAGGGTGCCCGATTCCATCCACTGGTCAATGGGTCAATGATCTGCAGCAACACGTTCGTTCTCAACATTGCAATACTATGTTGGAGGTACCCAACCGAATTCTTAATGCATTCATGTATTGTCATTGTCATTGGGTTGGTGAAAAAGGGAAAATCTTAACCGGAAACCATGGTTTTTACCATCAAATTGATCGGGCTTTCCTGTAAATTTTCCCATCATCCAATTCTATGATATTGTTGGTTATGTATAAATCTGTATAAATGTCCAATCAACATCCCATTCATATGGGTTATATATATATATATAACACTGGCGGGTCAGCCCAGCCCAGCCCGATTTCAAGGCAGAACGCTTCCATGAAGTCACTGCACGCTTTCGCCAGGAGCTGATGGGGCTGAAAAAGTCACAACCTACAGTACTTGGAGGATCATCCCACAGATGCTAAGTGGCCATTAACCATAGGTACTAGTTATATATATATACATAGTTATATACCCATAGGATCCATGTATGGTATATATGCTAACATTGGGGGTATATTGATGGTAAATGTTACCATATATAGCATACATGGATCCTATGGGATATATATATATATATATATTATATATAATTATATATATATATGGTCACCGACAGAATTATGGGAAAAAAAAAACGTTCAACTTAGACAGGCGGCGCCTGCGTCCGATTTTTCCATAATTGGATTTTTCCCCATAAGGGTTCAAAATATCCCGGAAGTGATCCGAACCTTTTTTTTTCCATAATTCTTGGAGGTGGCCATTATTTCCATAATTGATTTTTCCTGTGAAATCAGGGGGCTAGGGCAGATTGACCGGTTTTTCCATAATTATTTTTTTCCATAATTATTTTTTCCATAATTATTTTTTCCATAATTAATGTTTGGGGCTCCACCTGTTGGACATGTCATGGATCCACAATTCAAACCCGTTTTTTTTGGGGGTTATGGAAATACGTATGCAAATGCAAGTATGTAGTATCAACCCAATATTTTCTATAATTCAATATTCCCCCTTAAAATGCATTCAAATTGCGAATCGATGGTAATACAGTCACCGACAGAATTATGGAAAAAAAAATAATTATGGAAAAAATAATTATGGAAAAAAAAAAAGGTTCGTAACTTTTCTATCATAGACAGGCGGCGCCTGTAAATTGAAACTTTTTTTTTTTTCCATAATTCTGTCGGTGACTGTATATATATATATGGGAGAACTCACGAATTCGAAACTTACTGACCAGGATTGCTAACCGGTTTCTAAGGCAGATGATCCTCCAAGTATGAATATCGTGTTTTGATGAGGATATGATGTTCGGGTTTGCCCATGGTTCCCAAAGGAACCCCTGGTGGAGTGTAGTGAATCTATGCACCGGGGTTTCCACAACTGGGCGTTTTCTTTACAGGTATTCACTAGGTATTTTGTTAGCTATTCACCGGGTATTTAATTAAGAAGACTTGGCATTCAAAAGGTATTCACAGTCGAAGCCTATGGACGAACAGTGCATGGGTCTAAAACGTGTTCGGCCTTCAAGCTTGGTATTTCCCTGGATCAGGAGTCGCAAAGAAGACACACTATTTATATCTATTTATCAAATTACTTATCAAATGGCATAGCGGCATATCTACCTGCCTACCTACCTACCTACCTTCCTATTTGTGTGTTTGTATATATATATATATGTATAATCTGATGCATGGCTGTAATGTCCATATCTATATAAATACATACAGAAAACCTATACTGTACATATACATGTATACTGTATACATATAGAAAACCGACATATGTATGATATATTTTTGCCATACATACATATGCCGTATATCGCTCCACTAGAAAATAAGTGCTGAACTGCAGGGTCAGCAGCTCCAGGATGCCGTTTTTGTTCAGCAATGCCTAAGATATGGTGGTTTAACATGGTTTAACCATCAAAGATGGTGAAGCAAATGTGGTAGTTCTGTGGGTTGAACCTGACATTGGGACTTAACCTAGGAATATCAAAGTTGTTATTTATTTGATATAGATACAATTAGGATATAAAGGGAAAATCATGGAATATAATGGATCATATAATCAAAAAGATACAATTGGTGTGACTGAAAATGACTTGGATACATACCTTCCCCCAATTCACGACAATTTGAACAGGTAAAATGACAATAAACCAATGAATTTGTTGGTAACCCATGTTTTGGACAAACCCACATAATTAGTACATTGGTGGTTGATGTCTTGTGCAGCTGCACACCGCACACCTTGTGATACAGGGTGCACATGATGATTGGCTGGCTTTTCAGTATACTTTATGCACATACATACGTTACATACATACATATAATACAATACAATACACTACACTGTCACTACACTACACTACACTACAATACAATACAATACAACACATTACAACACATTTACAATACAATTACAATGCAATTACAATACAATTACAATACAATTACAATACAATTACAATACAATTACAATACAATTACAATACAATTACAATACAATTACAATACAATACCTTACATACATACAGTACATACAGTACATTCACACATACACACATACAGACAGACTGACAGACAGACTGACTGACAGACGGACTGACTGACAGACTGACTGACTGACAGACTGACTGACTGATTGTTTCTATATGTATATATATACATAATATACACGATATATTCAAGCCTGTATAATGTACATTGATATTGGGTTTTACGAAACTGGCGTAATGGAGATTGTGAGTTAGCCCAATATTGCTTATTGCAACCTTGCTCTCAAATCAGTCATTCTGTAGGACCAACAACCATCCAACTTCGGTGGTGCAAGTTTTTTAAGAACCTCACATGTAAATGTATGATATATATATATATATTATTCGGAACATCCACCATTTATCAAAACTTCTTCTAGGGCTTCTCTGTTGTTGTACCATATCTTTTTCTCAGTTTCCTTCAGGGCACGCGATTGCATAAGCGGTCAGCCCTTCAGCTGCAGGATCAGCTTGCCATTTTGGCGCAAATGAAGCAAGTCCTGAAAGAGAAATTTGCAGAGGATGAAGTGCAGCAATGGGTTGCTTGGGCTATGCCAATCCGGCTCTAGTCTTTTCAAACTAGGAGACCTGAGCCCTGTTTTTGCTGGAAGAAATCGCCGGCTGAAAATTCCTCAGTGATGAATGTCAAATGATCAGTTTCAGATAGATGTTTAGATTCTTTCCGAATTCGAGAGAGTCAAAACTAAACTGGGCTAGACTGTGTGTAAGTGAACATCTCGAAATCAACCATGTATGTCTGTATACAATAAATACATGTCACTACATATTTTATCGGAATCATATATACATATACCGATGTTGTCAAATAATGTGCCACTGCTATATGTGATTATGTGTATATGATGGTGTCATGTATTTGTGCCTATGGAGATCCATAGCCGCTGCTGTTCCCAACGGCGAGGTAGCAGCGTTGAAGGCACATGTGCCGGAGGAGGAGGAGTTCAAAGAAGAGATTGCAGGCTGGGGATGTTTAAACATAAGGGTTTTGGTGGGGAGATATATGGGAATATATCGGGGATATCATGGGATATATATATATATACATACCAATGAGTAGATGACCAGTCTGTTAATCAAACTTCGCAATGGAACTGTTTTTCCCCATTTAACTGCCAATTCTGGGGGATTTCTGATTGCCATGATTGATTACCGGATCTATTTGTTTGCCTCCCTCTTCAAAGAATCGCAGATCCAGAAACACATTGGCACATTCAAACAAAGCCAACATGTTTGATCTTATTTCGGCGAGGAATGGCACCAAAAGAATAACAAGAGTCTCCTAAGAATACCCCCGGTAATCAAACATGGCAATGGACAATCCACCATTTAGTTCCATGATTTTCCCAGCGAACTAAAACTTTGTGGCTTATTCCCACAGGAGTACCGGCCAAGTTTCCTCTATGTTTTTCGTGTAGGCATTGCGAAGGATTTGGCGAAGGGACACGCCTCAGAAGTACCTTGGTGGTTTCCAAGGTACATCTGTGGGAGTTCAGACAGGGATTCCAGACGTAATGAGGATATAGTGAGTGTGCAGTTGCGGTTATAGTTTCATACCCATAGGATCCATGGTGCTGGTATATATGCTAACATTTGGGGTATATTGATGGTAAATGTCACCATATATAGCATACATGGATCCTATGGGATATAGAACAGTAGTCAACATATCAGAGTCATACTGATCATACAGAGTCGGGGTTATATGCCAAGTTATGGCGGTAATTGCCATGGTTTCTTCTCTTCCTAACCCCATTTCTGCACCCCCAAGTACCGATGATGGAACCAGGCCGTGGACGTTCATCGAAATTGGAAATCTTCGGTTTGCCGAGTTAGAGCAGAGGGTACCCTCCGGTGTCCCTACTATTGCAATCAGAAATCCATAGAGATCCCATATACACACGGAGGTTTTTGATGGGAAAATCATCTAGCGGGGAATTGTCCATGACCATGTTTGATTTCCGGAGGGTAGTGCGTTTGTTCTCAATGTTAAGAACATCAGTAGTGTACATTTCGGTTGTTTAAGTTGTGGCTGTGACCTCTACAAGTGGCAGTATATACGCTACTAATACACGCATATAGACTGTTCATGACTGTTCACATAACATTGATATGCTCGGTGTTTGGTATAACAGCATGAGCTTGAGTCATTCTTGGTACAGTAAATTGTTTTTCAATAATTACTACTCCGTACATGAAACAATGGTTTGTGTACATATTTAGATATATTCGCAAACAATTGGTACCTCAACATCCCAACATCCATGAAGTCCTGCACTTAAGAATGGGTTAATTAATTCACAGACGCAACATGACATAACCGATGATTGTTCAACGATTTTCTCCAAGAAGGGACCCACAATCAGATAGGTGCATTGAGTTGGTTTGTAGCCAGGCTGCTAGGCTAATGCTTGGATTTATGGTGCATACCTCCCAAACGACTACATTTGAATGGCTTCAATGGGGTTTTCAAGCATTGGATTTATGCTTGTGTTTTCCCCCAAATATCCAGGTACCAAACCCGTATATCACTCCAGTTTTTTCAATTCTTGATTAAACCTCGCCACTGGGAAGCTCCAACCCTTGTCCCTTGTCATTTTTGTTCACCCAGGAGCTCTATGACCAGATTCTGCTCTTCAATGCCGTTTACGACTCTTGGGAAAAATTAGGGATTTTCAGGCGATGGTTTGGGATGGTTCACGAAAAGTTCGTGAACTCTTGATGCACTTTTGATGCATTTTTGCGAACTACCGTAATCTTACTAGTGTTGCAAAAATTGGAGAAACATACACAAAATATTCGAAATCAGTTTTACTACGTAGAAATCCATGAATTTACTGATATTGCAGACTTAGGGCAACATCTATTGACATTAATTACTTATTTGACTCCAGGGATTATCCTAGCATCAACCACAACAAAGTGGGCCCCCACCGTTGGGTTTGTTGGTTTCGTTTCACCTGCATTCAACTGGAGTTATCAATTTCCACCACAAGTCCAGCCATTCACTCTTGCAGCTAAGAACCAACATAAACCTATCACAAATCAATCGTACATCCAAAATCTTGATGACTAAAACCGAACATGAGTGGTCAAAACATGTCAAAACATGTCAAAACATGTCAAAACATGTCAAAACATGTCAAAACCCCTAGCCGGCTAGGTGATTCAACCACCATTCAACCACCTTAAAAACCTGGGGCCCGATGACACCATGGCACCGCCCCCAGGAGTTGCAGTTTACAAACGACTGCTCTGGCATTCTGGCGGCGGATGTGGCGGGGACCGTGATCCATGGCCGACGCCTGGCTCAGCGCGGTCGGAGCTCAATGGGTTGGTTTTAAACAAAGAACATATTGGGGCGACATATAGGGATAATTATGGGATATTATGGGATAAATGTCAATAAACCTGGGATCATTATGGGATAAATATGGGATAATTATGGGATAATGATAAGTAAATAGTACTTAGATCCTTTGATTAATTGTTTCTATAGGCATAACATAGGATAATATGATATGTTTGATATTATATGATGTTATATGATATTATATGATATTATGTGATATTATATGATATTATATGATATTATATGATATTATATGTGTTGTTCGAGAAAGAACTGTTTTGTTGTGTAATGATGTAAAACGAGACATTTTGGTGAAAGGTCTGTGACGTGTAATTTTTGCCTATGAAATTGATCTACAGTCAATGCATTCAATCTGTGTGAATCCTTGGTGAATGGCTTGTAGGTGTGTTGTTTTCTTTGCCATGATTGTGGAATAATAATAATTGCGTGATTTATTACTAAACAAAACATTGCTGGGTAGCCGACGATAGTCATGGATTACCATCCAACTAAGTTTGCTATTAAAATTCCAATGAAACCAACACATTTGGGAAACCTTGGATCAGTTCAACATGTTTTTGTCGTCATAACTGGGGTAGGATTTTTTCGGACCAAGATTCAGACATATTTCGCAGGGGAGGATTGGACCTTGGACATCCAATATGGAATGGGCATCAGATTGGGCCTTTTTTCGCTGTGGGAATATGTGGATGCGACCAGGTTGTCGTGGTCCAGGTGTCGGATCCAATCATGTTTAGTATTGACAGATTCATGGGTCCAACAATCCCATCCTATTAAAGGCCTCATCGGGAAATTCCCATGGGGTTCTGGCAGCCTTGGACCGAGGCAATTTGGACTTCCATTTTCTGTACAAGATGCCAGATGGCAATGAACACAATTTTCCAGCCCCTGGACTGATCTAACTCACTGGTCTTCATGAAATGAGCTCGCTTTGAAGGTGTTGGAAGATAAGCCTGTACTGTATAGAAACAATATTAGGGCACCAAAAAGGAAGGGTGTACTAGGGCTTTGTGAAATGTTTGGTGGTTCAAACATCTGTCATTTGTCATGTTTTGTGCGGTTCAACGATTGCCTTCAGCAATTGGATACGGATAAGCAGTTGGCGTGCTTCAAAGTGGGATTGTCAGAGCAACACATACCAACAGTTTGGGGTCTGATATCTGATGTGTGATTGTTTGAATCTAATTTTATCATTGTGCAGCCAAAATGTCCATACTAGATGTTTTTTTAGTATCCTCATGAATTGTTGTTGTTGTAGTAGCGTATCCCCGCACTTTCTTGTTACCAGGACAAGGTTTGTCAAACTGCAGACAAGGTTCTCACCCGACCATTGGTCATTTGGTATATCTATTTCCATGATATTCCAATTATCCTGTGGTTGGTATATATCCCAATGCGGTTATGGGGTGATTCCCTATTTGATGGTTATATAAATCACCATTGTTCACCATGTTTTCTTTGTATGTCGTTAAAGCCCCTACGTCTACCCCTGATAGATCTCCTCTGATCTCTTTTTGTTCGTCCGGGCTCCCCCTTTTAGGAGGTAAGCATTTTGGTAGCTTGCATTCCTCGTTGTGGTTTCTGACTCTGCCATGTTTTGTTTACAGCAAGTCCGATGTTTGTAGGTTTTTCAGCCCAATTGCTAGTTGGTTCTATGAAAAAAAACACCATTTCTTGGTCCTCACAACTTGGATGGTCAAAGAAAGTGCGGCTTTAGAGGTGTGCCCTATATCCCATCCAGCCAAGTTGCAGAATGCTATGCCGTGTACTATTAGATAATAGGTGTATATATATATATATATAATGGTATGATAAGATATATAATGGTATGCAAGTAAATGACATCATATAATATTGTATTTATATAATATTATATAATGGTATACCATTATATACATTATATATAATATATCATACGTCATTTACTTGCATACATTTATAGACTGTATATTCTTTAAAACACCCGTTGAAACCCCCATTCAATCCACATGATGTTAGGAAAGCAATCAATAAACTTCTCACATGGTTTTACACCACCCATTTATGATAAAAAAGAAACTTGGGGGATGGTGTAAAAACGACTGTAATGTGGGTACAGTGCCATAAACCATCCCCCAGTCATCACGGTTGTTATAGGTGGTATGTTTTACCATTCCCAGTCATGGGTGGGTTGTGACATTGTTTTACCCACATTAACTATAGAAAATTGCCCATTGATAGTTGATTTACCTATGAAAAACTCGAGATTTTCCTTGGCTTTTTGTAGGTTTACCAGAGGGTATCCAAAATTTTGTTAGTTGATTTCCCATAGGATCCATGTATGGTATATATGCTAACATTGGGGGTATATTGATGGTAAATGTTAATATATCATACATGGATCCTATGGGTTTACCTATTAAAACATGGTGATTTTCCATAGTTGATGGTGAGTTTTCCAGTGATCTGCCGAAGATCTGCCCGAAGGATTTGGCCTTCAACGCCATCTTCTGGCGCCAGGGGAAGCAGCTTCTCATGGCACCCAGCTTCGCTCTCTTCAACGGTGCGCCGGAAGACGAAGGGGGGAGCGAAGTTAACGAAAAGTAAAGGGCGACAGATTGGTAAATCATGGAAAACCATGGCAAATTGATATATTATGTTTATGTAATATATGTATATAATCCTGGTTGCAATTTCCTCTACAGAATCAGGGGTGTTGACACCCAAAAAACCTTCGATTCTGGAGAGCCAGTCTGCACCCCTACTGTGCTACAAAATCAAGGACCATGGGCTGGCAAACACCCCAAAATCACCCATTTTGGACATTTTTGGACTGTATCTTGTTAGGTCCCTGATTCTGTAATGGGGGCCCCAACGTTGAGCAAGAAGTGCACAAAACCTTACATTTTGGGAAGGGGATTGATTTTGTAGAAATAAGGCTGGTGACGTCCTAAGGTCTTTGATTTTGTAGTCAAAGCATGCTCATCAATGTCATATCGTGTAAAATCTTGTAAAATCTTGTAAAGGAACTCATGCTACAAAATCAAAGACTGGCCATGTTGGACATCTTGGACTGACTTGTAAAATCGTGTAAAGGAACTCGTGCTACAAAATCAAAGACTGGCCATTTTGGACATCTTGGACTGACTTGTAAAATCTTGTAAAGGAGCTCATGCTACAAAATCAAAGGCTGGCCATTTGGGACATCTTGGACTGACTTGTGAAACTTGTAAAGAAACTCATGCTACAAAATCAAAGACAGGCACTTGGGACTTTGGAGGGGATTGTAAAGCTTTTAAAGCTTGTAAAACTTGTCAGCACACTCATGCTACAAAATCAAAGAAAGGCACTTGGGACTTTGGATGGGACTTGTAAAACTTGTAAAACTTGTAAACACATTCGTTCTACAAAATCAAAGATCAACAAAACATCTCTACAGAATCGACTCTAACACAAATCTCTACAGAATCATCC